GCGGATGATTTCTGGCGGCAGTGAGCTCTTTTAGGAAATGGAATATGGGAAGAGATTCGAATTCTGATTTTAATTTAATTCAAAGGCTCAAGCGTACGTAGTACGAAGATGTTTGATAAACGTCAGCTCACGTCTCGTCAACTTTTTGATTTTCCACGCCATTCCTTTGGAAGATTTTCCTTAAAAAAATAGTCAATTTTAGAAAGTTTCAGATGATAACCGGATTGCGGGCAGCACCTCAGTAGAGCACCTGTTATTGCAGGGCAATTTTAAGCTGCGTGTCAATGATGTGATTTATACTGTTGACGTGCCTTCGTTTCCGACTATTGAATCGGTAATGGACCTCCGCTCTTTGCTAGCACTTCATGCACCAGACGACGGAAGTGGCTTTTTCAGAATAGCAAAATGGGCAGCGACAGATTGCGCAAATTCGATGATTTGAAATCAGCGGTGGCCTCACTGCATGCTGTCATGAATGTGGATGAATTTAAAGCATTTCGGGAACGAAAACTCATGGAACGATTCGAAACCGTGCAAGCAGAGCTTAAGCCACTCAGCGAAGTACGCTTCGTACGTCTGCAGTTGAAATCCAGCATAGACTGTCTTCTATTACATAAGATGTAGAGAAGTGTAGGAGTCGCTGATCTTCAGACAAAAGCTCGGATTGATGCGGAATGCGAGAAACAAGCACAGCGAACATTGTGGTATACACTTGGATTGATGGGTCTCCAAGCGGGATTTTTTGCTCGGTTGACATGGTGGGAGTATAGCTGGGATATCATGGAGCCAGTCACTTACTTTGCAACGTATGCAACGCTGATGGCTTCGTTCGCCTATTACATGTACACCAATCAGGTACTTCTCCTCTTCCTCGCGTTACTTGCATCATCACGATGATGCATGCATCCCATGGGTTTTGCTTCTTTCAGTCATACGATTACGGAGACCATAAAAGGAGAAGACGAAACATACTGTTCCATCGGAAAGCAACAGAGTACAACTTTGACATCTCCAGGTAATCTGATGACTCTGTCTCATCTGTGACGACCACACGTGCAATATCGCCTCGACATCTGCATTTGTTACAGGTTCAATGAATTGCAAAATCTTGCACGGTCGATAAACCACGACTTGACGAGGCTTCGTGATCCACTGTACCAGCATTTGCCAGCAGCACGCTTGGCGTCACTGCTAAATGAGGACCCAAGAAAGTCATCTGGTGGTAATCCGGTCGAAGAAGTTTCATCCTGTTAATAATATTCGTAATTACGTGCACTGTGATTGTTTCGAATTATAATCAGTTGCGGTGTTTCAACGAGCTTAACACCTCGTATCTGCTTAAAACCCGCGCGCCTCGCTTGCCCGTTTGCTTTTCAATCGTGATTGCTTTAACCGTAATTGTTAATACCCATGTTGTGTATCACTCCTTACGTGAATTTTTGTTTGAGATTACTTTGCTGCGAAAAAAAAGAACCGCCACGATGACTACACTTAACTCCCAACTCCTCGCGCACTGCATTTACACAGAAACGAAGCAGTTACACCTTTAATTCACCAGTGCTAAACCTACTCGTATTTTCCCACCTCAAATTGTAACAGAAATATACGTGGTCGAAAACCCATAAACGTGAAATCGTCAGGAGTCTTCTTACGTCCTTTATTATTTGCCTTGGGCACAAACCGAGCTTGTAATTGCAGAATAGAGCCAGGCTGGAAAACACAAGGCGCCGGTGCGATTATGCGTTTTTGTACTTTTCATGCCGTAGCAAGTTCGCAACAAATCACAGTAGCTAACCCTGTGACGTACTAGCTCTCGAAATTCGGGAAGTTAATTGTGCAGCTATGCGGTATGTCAGTTGTAGATGTCGACTTCAGTGATCCGACAAATGGAGAGTTGCTGGTCCGCAAAAAAGGCCGCACTAGAATAGTCAAATTCGAAATTCTTTAATCGCACAGGAGTAGGAAACATTCCCTCCCGAGTAAGCAGTTTCCCCATCAAAATTTTCACGTGTCCGTACTTGAGTACCAGACGGTTTTGAGCTGAATTTGAAATCTTTTGATCATACATGAGCAGGGGACATTGCTCAAAAGTTTCAGCTTTATAGTTTTTTTCGTTCCCGGGCTAGCGACTTTCGCGCCAAAATTCTCACGTGACCGCCGGGAGTTTCTAAACACCTGATTTTGTTCGTACACGAGTAGGAAACAATCCCGTAGAGTTTCAGCTTCCTAGCTTTTCCCGCTCTCAGATTATTTTCGCGCCGAAATTTCCACATGTGGCGAACGTGAGTCTCGGGCGCCTCTAAACAACTAATTTTGGTTATACATGAGTAGGGAACATTCCCGTAAAATTTCTGCTTTCTAGCCTTCCCCGTCCCCATGTTAGCAATTTCCGCGTCAAAATTTCCACGTGCCCGCACGTGGACCCCAGGCGATCCTAAGGAGCTGAGTTTGAAAACTTCGGGCCGTGCATAAGTAAAGAACATCCCTCCAAAGTTTCAACTTTCTAGCTTTTCTCACTCTCGAGTTACGAATTTTCCCGCCATAATTTCCACGTGCCCGTATGTAAGCCCCGGCAGTACTGGACAGCTGAATTTGAAATCTTTTTGTCATACACGAGTAGGGAACATTTCTCTACGGCTTCAGCTTTCTAGCTTTCCTCGTCCCCGAGTTACCAATTTTCGCGCCAAAACTCCAACGTGTTCATACGCGGGACCTAGACGTGTGTGAGAGTTGATACCGCGGTCCTGGGGTAGCACTTGGCTGGGGAACACGCTGGCAAAACTTCAGCTTCAAAGTCTGCGTAGTTAGCGAGATGAAATACCCGGACAGACGAACACAAACGTACACACATACATACACGCACTGACAGAGTCGTTGCAATATGCGTTTTTGCTGCCTGTTTCAACGCTCTAACGCTGCACGGCAAAAACGCATAAAAAGTCAGCGTGGGACCTCCTCGACTCAGTATGCTGCGGAGGAACTAACTAGTTCAGTACTCCCTTCCCCCACTGGCCACAAGCCCGAATTTAAGCTAATGCTTCTACAAATACCTGTACAAAACAACACACGAACTTGGAATTTGGGCACGCTGAATGGTGCGGAGAGAAGATATCTAGCGTCAACTAATTTTTTTTTTGCAGCTCGAGCAATACAGACTGCCTGCAGCTGGACAGTTCCGTCAGTTTTCCAGTTTCTATCCAATATACCTAGCGGTGATCACTGATGTATCATTTACCCTAATTTCGGTGCGCAGTCGGCAAAGTATCTCATCGGGTCTAGAAGTGATATTGTGCGAGAGGAGCTTTTTGATACTCAGCGCCGGAATAATTCTGTCGGAGAAACCACTGCACCAGTAATCTCTGTAGGAAGCGAAACGGCCGGAACACGCAACATGCCATGTGTACTGAACAGTAAGGCAATGAAAAAAGCAACCCGTGAAGTTCCCAGTTGCATAAGTAGTGAACTAGGCCATGAATTACCACCGATCCAATTACCCTCAAGTATATACATATATAAGCTCTAACCAGAGAGGACTAGCCAATGGAATTACAGCTGTGACATTCCTGAAGTGTATAACGCAGTTTGCAGGAGGCGCTTAGTTAAGAGAAGCTGGTGGCTGGCAAAGCGCCAGACCCATCTCCTTATTTTTCTCTACAAACGAAATTAATTTGCACTGTACATAAGTAGGTTAAGATTGTGCCATAGGCAAATCAACTGAAAACAAACAAACAAACAGTTGTGAACAACGGATGTGGCAATGGAAACGTAAGCGAAGAAACAGCAGTTTAAATGTAATACACTTAAAACATGAAGATTAGAAAATGGAGAAGGATCTGAAGTGAGCATATCTGGGCGACAAATTAACCGAGAGAAGTAATGCCATACGAAGATTTCTGTTTTGTGGGAGAGGGGAGGGACGGAGACACAGTGCTTACAGACATTTTCAGGGAAAAATCTTAAACAGTTGGGACAGCAGCACAGTCCTGAATTCATTTTACTCGTGTGCACAAAAATAAACATGCGTCGCACTTTCGTCATTTGATGTTCCCCTGCCTCCTTTACACTATGAAGCTTGAACCGTGAAAACGATCCCTTTCGCCTCTGTTACGAGAAACACTTTTCACTACCAATTCGCAATTACTGCCATCGCTGTTACCTTATGAGGCGAGAGAGAATTCAGCCAGCATATCTGCAATAATTCTGCTGCATCAGAACTGCAGAAAATTACCATCGAAAAAATCCGGAACACACACACAGGCAGGCACACCAACACATGCAGACACACCAACACATGCACACACACATGCACACACACACACACATGCACACACACACACACACACACACACACACACACACA